ATTTATTTATTTATTTGAGTGTATTTGGAAACAAAATATTTTAGTAATATGTTACGTAGTACTTGAGAAGTTATTACAATGATAGCTCACAATATGTTTTATCCCCTTGTCCATCTGTGAGCTATTGTTACCAGTCAATTGCCAACTTCCATTACTTTAGATCAAATTTAAAAAGCAATTATTTGGAAGTGAAAACAAGGATGGCTTGCTTAACAAATGAAAAAGCATAGTGATTGAGCACGACGTAAACATTTTCTCATATCCTGAACGTTTTTGTAGTTTGACAAATAAATTAAAAATAACTGGTTTTATTTTTTTAGATTTATAGTTGTTACAATTTTCATTAATGCGAAAACTAACTCCTGGAAGTGTTTTCTGGTCGTGTAAAGCAGCTTGACATCTTACGGCACTGTCGCGATGGCAGTACGTTAAAAATGCACAACCTTTGTGTAAACCCGTGTATTTATCTTTCAGAATTGTAAATTCATAGATTTTGCCGAAAGTTTCAAACAAATGCCGTAAATCTTTTTCTTCCAAATTACGTGGAATCTGAAAATTTTTTAAACATTTTATATAAATTTATAGAAAATACTTTTGACAGCAATAAAGAAGTTTTCAAACAAGAAATTGTATTCCAGTCCTGATCTACTTTGTTAATTCTATACATAACCTTCTTCAAACATCCTTTTTTTAAATGAAGAGGTAGAAAAACCTCTCCTCCGAAAACTTCATATCTTAAACTAATTATTCCACGATTTATTTTCCTTATTCTCTTTCAAGTTGCTGTCGAGTACCCAGACAAAATTATTGATTGGTCCCACTATTTGTGGTTATCAAGCATATCTTATGATTGCAATTTAAATTGAAAACGGAAACATAAAATAGTTATCTTTTCATTATTTTAAACTGCAACTGTGCAAAGTTTTAACTGTTTTAAACTTAGATGAATCAAAATGTTGACAAATTTCTTGGTATTTAAAAATTTAATTTTAATCTCAATTTTAACTGTCAGAACTTATCTGTTAATAGTATGAAGTAGACTTTATGAGGCCTAAACCTTCGAAAAGATCAAATTGGCTTAGTAATGTGTTAAGCTGTTGATGATTTGTGCCGTTTTTATTTGCACCTTTTCTTTAGGTTTAGTTGAAACTTATAAGGCTATACATTGACAGTATTTAACCGAAAATATTCATCAGGAATTCTCTAAACATTCCAGTTAATTTATTTTGCAATATCAATTTAGAACGTCAAAAATTTCAAAAATTTTGTGGAAAAAAAGAACGAAGATTCACGGATTGTGAAGTAGATAGTAGAGCAGGGTGGAAGCTGATTGGCTGATGCAAAGTAAAAATGATTGGTACACGTCTCTTTCTCTTTTCTACAGTAGTCTGCATAAATTTGTAAACAGATTCTTGCTTGGTTTATTTCACTCAAAATTTGCATTTCTGAACAAATTTCAATGTAGTTATAATACTGGTAAGGTTTTTGTCTTTATACATTGGTGTATATGCGCAAAATGGCAATTGACATATTTTGAAGAGAAAACTGATTTGATTGAAGTGATGTAAGGGTCAGAGAACATGGTCGATTTTTTGATCGATTTCGAGGTCAAATAAGGATGTGCTGACATCGAGAGGAAAAAGTTCGATTAAACAGTTCGACTACTCAAATCATAAAATAATGTACCTTATTCACGTTATAAACAGATGGACATTTTTAATTCAAAAATGAATTTTCTGCAAAGCTCATTATTGATTAAAAATTGGTCAAACTGGTCAAAACCTGGTTGGACTAAACCTTCAGTTAGCAATTCTTTTTTAAGAAAAGAGGGCAGAGAAATAAGAGGAAGAAGAGGACTTACTTGTCCAACGAAGAGCTTGATGGTATCGGCATCTTTCACCGGGAAACCATTGCTATCGGTGGATGACGAACGACTCATCCTACTATCCCCATTCATTTTACTTCCCGACTGTTGTTGTTTACCTTTATTTTGCTGTTGGTGATGTACCATTTAAGCATACATATGGATAGAATTGCAGGAGTAGTATTTTGCAGGTAGCTTTGTAGTAAATGTAGACAATTTTTCTTCTAATCTAACAGAACATTCACAAAACATCAAATGTTTATGTACTACCACTTCGCTCCAAAGTGGATAACGTTTAACGAATGCAGAATCATAAGTAACAGTAAATTTTCTCAGCCTACAATAGGAATACACCAATAATAAGAATGAAAAAGCACAGTATGCGGAATGCGGAATACGGAGTTAAGAATAAAGTTAGCTAGTTAGCTGAATAAACTTTAGAATCCAAAAGCAGACATTTCCGTGCAGATTCTCACCAATTTCTGAATTTTCTAGCGAAAATACAGAGAGAATGCAAAAAACAATCACCATATCACAAAAAAAAAACCACACACCACAAGAAAGGGACGAGAAGGAAGCACATAGTGACGGCGACAACAACGACGACGACTGCTTGGGAGCCTGAAATAAGTGCTTACATAAATAGGAGGCAGGGTAGGAGTTATAGTTGTCAATACTAGCTAGCGGCCTTTAGCTAGCGCTCTTTGCATGGTGCAGTATGGGGAGATACTACTGAATCATGCAGACAGCAAATAGATCACGGATAGTATATAGGGTGTGTGAAGAGATAGATGGATATATTGGGTCGAAAGGAGGGATGGCACTCATTTCTACTCTTTCTTGGTTTGATGTCCCATTAATCATGAAAGCTTGCTTGCAAAAGAAAAGGAGAAAGCAGTCATGCTTTATCGAACTACCATTTGGCTGGAAGTTTCCATTTTCAGTCTATGGAATGGACAGAGAGACAGATTACATGAATTATTGGTTCTTCTAGACTTAGATGAATAAAAATGTACATTACTTACTTTTATCGATAGAACTACAGCAAGCAGGTAGCTGCAGACATGGGAACAAGCAAATCGGATATGCATGGAGCTGAGGTCTATTAATTACAAATTGCACTGCATCTAACCGTGTCATTTACGCTTCAGAACAATAACTTGAATCAATGACACATAAAAGTCGTTCTCACTCTCTTCCCATCTGGAAATCCTCATCTGCAGGGTAATACAATATCAAATAAATCAATAAACCGCTTGAGAGTGAGCTGTGAATTATTACCGTACAATTGAAATAACTTCGCCGATGTCATTATAGACTTATTGTTGTCGCCTTGCAAATAATGTTCAAGTTAATAATAAAATCGAAGTTGACTAATTAATTAGCTGAAAGCCAGGAATGTTATTATCATTGCTATGTTTTACTAGGCTAATTTGATGGTCATGCAGCTAAATAATTCGTTTATTGATGTAAGGGCCAAATTCAAAAGAGTCAGGGCTTTCAAACTAGATCATATCACACATTTCAAATATTCTATTTTCTATTTCACCAGGAAAAAAGTGTGTTACTTCAGTATACCATACATTCTTTTTACCTGGATCAGAAATTGAAGGAAAATGAAGGTTGATAATTTACTGTGATGTTGTATAATCCGCGAATCTTATCTGAAAACTCTCAGTTTGCTTACTTGGAATTTATTGTGCTTTCTTAAAGTCGTTCTTATAAATATTCTTTTTGCCCCAAAAAAAAAAAAAAAAAATAGAAGTTTTGGATGTCAGGCTCTTGGCTAATGGTTACTTTCAAAAATTTTATTCAGCACGATTGCAAATTCTCCAGGAAAGAATGTTCCGGAAAATTACGAAATATATGTCATAACTGATAACACTGAGTTGAACTAATGACTTTTTCTCAAGCATTCTCTTCGAAAACCATTTTCTGCAAATTAAATTTTTCTCTGCAATCCTGACCTGTCATCTCGTGCACAAGCGTACACAGCTGTATTTTTCGAAGTCATCACAATCTACTTACTATCATGGTGATGTATTGTATCAAGCAGCTGTGAATAAAAACAAACGAAGGCGGTTAGACATATCCAACGTATTTCTTACAAGTTTTTTAAAAGAGTTATAGTTCAACTAAAAACTACTGATGTCGAATGGATATAATTAATTAAGCAATGTGCAAAACCAAGTGCTTATAAACGTCTAAAACGTGTCTGAAATCGCTCTTGCAAACTACTTCACTAGTACCTCATTTTTCAATTAACTTTTATATCATATAAAGAAAATTCAATATCCGTTCAGTTCAATATAATTTTTGTACATTTTGTTTCAGTCTGTAATTAATTTACTTGCTTGATTAAATTTCGGCAATTACTCTCAAATTTGGAAATGGACAAAAGTTTCAAAGAACTGTTTCAAAGTCAGTAACAAAATATGATGGTGCATCTTTTCTAGGAATTTTAAGCTAAAACATTGTTACACGTTGATTAATAAGGATTAAATGACTGGAGTAAGTTTTCATCGGAGATTCAAGCATATTATGTTCACATTATAATCATTCATATCACCGAGAGAAGAGACGATGTGTTAAATAACCGGACAATGATTAGAAGTGATAGGGATGAATTATTTCATATGACTGGGTATCGTTAGAGAAAACTGAAATTTGTGTTGCAAGAAATATTAAATGTTACTACTCAAATTTTATTAGAGAATCGAATAGACTTTAATATGTTTCTACCCATACGATAAATATTTCCAGGATAAGGCTCAAGGCTAATCTTATCCCTGTTTATAACTAACTGATATAGCTTTGAGACAAAAGTGGAAAGGCGCTCTGTAGTAGCATTCCTGTGACACCTCGGTTTTCAGCTCTCGTTTACCATATACAGACAGATCAATCAATCACTAATCACTTTTTATTTTAATCGACATTCGTTCGACCTTTGACAGTAAATTCTTCCACCACTATTACACCACTATTATTCCTATCACTATCACTTCTTACCCTACTACTACTACTACTACTACTACTACTACTACTACTACTACTACTACTACTACTACTACTACTACTACTACTACTACTACTACTACTACTACTACTACTACTACTACTACTACTACTACTACTACTACTACTACTACTACTACTACTACTACTACTA